TAAAACCTGAGTTAAAATGGGTCACATACCTAAAAGCAAAGTAAAGAGATCATAGGAGAAAATTTTCATGACCTTGGTTTAGGCAAATTCTTAGATACAGCACTAAAAGTACAATCTGTTTTTTTTTAAAAAGTGATGAATTTGTCAAAAGGAACAACTTTTGTTCTGCCAAAGATATTGTTGGAGAATGAAAAGACAGCTACAGACTGTAAATATATATTTGCACATATCTGCTAGGGGATTTATTTTCAGAATTATATGAAGAACTCTCAAAACTCAACAAGAAATAACTATTTTAAATGGGCAAAATATTTCAATGAGCACTTTAACGAAGGTGTACAAATGGCAAATAAGCACATGAAAAGGTGCTCAACATCATTACTCATGATGGTAATGCAAATTAAAACCACAATGAGATGCTACTATATATCTATTAGAATGACTATAATTTCTAAAACTAACCATGTCAAGTCCTGCAAGGATGCTAAGCAATTGGATCTCTCATGCATTGCTGGCTGGAATGCAAAATGGTTCACCCACTTTGGAAAACAGTTTGGAATTTTTTTATAAAATTAAACATTCACTTAGCATATAACCCAGCAATCCCCTTCCTAAAAATGAAAACTTGTGTTCACACAAAAACATGCATGTGAATGTTTATGGCAAGCTTTATTCAAAAACTGGAAACAACTCAATGTCTTCAAGTGATGAATGGATAAACAAACTGTGATACATCCATACAATGGAATACTACTCAACAATAAAAAAAAATAAACTATTAATACATAAGAGAAAATAGATAAATCTCAAATGCACTAAGCTACATGAAAGAAGCCAGACTCAAAAAGTTATATATACTATTTTATTCCACTTATATGATATTCTAGAAAAGACAAAATTGTAGGCATAGACAACAGATCACTGGTTGCCGGGTTTAAGAGTTGACAAGGGTTCAACTACAGAGGGACAGCACAAATAAGTTTTTTAAGGAAAACTGTTATGTATCATCATTCTGGTGGTGGTTACAAAACTCTATGCATTTATCAAAAATCACAGAACTGTATACAAAAATTTTACTGTATATTAAAAAACAATTTTCAAAAATAGGCAAAGGTAGTTAAGAAAAAAGGCAATTTGGCAGGTCTAAAAAACAATCAAAATAATAGAACAGGCTGGGCGCAGTGGCTCACGCCTGTAATCCCAGCACTTTGGGAGGCCAGGGCAGGCAGATCACCAGAGGTCAGGAGCTCGAGATCGGCCTGGCCAAAATGGTGAAACCCTGTCTCTACTAAAAATACAAAAATTAGCAGGGAGTGGTGTCGGGAGCCTGTAATTCCAGCTACTCCAGAGGTTGAGGCAGGAGAATCACTTGAACTGGGCAGGTATAGGTTATGGTGAGCTGAGACCACGCCATTGCACTCCAGCCTGGGCAACAAAAGTGAAATTCCGTCTCAAAAAAAAAAATTAGCTGGGTGTGGCTGCAGGCACCTGTAATCCCAGCTACTCAGGAGGCTGAGGCAGAAGAATTGCTTGAACCTGGGAGGAGGAGGTTGCCATGAGTGGAGATCATGCCACTTGCACTCCAGCCTGGACAACAAGAGTAAAACTCCCGTCTCAAAAAAAAAAAAAAATAGTACCAATAATAATAATAGAACAGAATAAAAACAAGGTCTTGGGAATAATAACAGATCATAAAAAGAGGGCACTAAGTTGGGGATAGATTTTTTTTTTTTTTTGAGACGGAACCTCCAACTCCGTGGTTCAAACGATTCTCCTGCCTCAGCCTCCCAAGTAGCTGGGATTACAGGCACGTGCCACCATGCCCAGCTAATTTTTATATTTTTAGTAGAGATGGGGTTTCACCATGTTGGCCAGTATGGTCTCAATCTCCTGACCTTGTGAGGGGATGGATTTTAAAGGCAAGACAGAACTGCAGTTTTCCAAATCAGTGAATAATATCAAGAAAGTAAAAACACTGAGCTGCGTATCAAGTATGCCTTTGGTCCTGATATGTCTTAGAGTCGGAGACCATTCTAAGCATATAAAAGGATTTCACATCACAAGTAAGAAAACAGAAATTCACAGGCTGGCAATTTTTTATCTCATGCCTCTCAATCGAGGGTTCTTAACATGCAGTACTTAGACAGAATTCTGGCAGTCTGTGAAAGTGAGTGAAATGAAAATACATCTTTTTAACCACTAACTGAAATGCATTACATTTCCTTAGGTCATGCATGTATGTAACTAACTGCAATAGACTAAACAGGACGTGTACCTTCATCACTTAAAGAAATCACAGATTCTTCCTATCATATTATTACCATGGATCTGTTGCTATCTTATTTTGTATGCATTAATAAACATATTTATAAATCACATTGAAGTTTTCTAGTATTTTGATAACTATATTTTATATAATCGGTTTCCTTTGTAATCCCATGTATTTTACCTTATACATTTAGAATACATTAAATGTTTTTAAATATATATATGAAGCATCTAAGGTAGTATTCATAGGCTTCCCTAAACCATCAAAAGGATTTATGGCAAATAAAACATTAAAAATCCCTGCTCTAGAGGGGAACATCACACACCAGGGCCTGTCGGGGTTGTGGGGTAGGGAAGAGATAGCATTAGGAGAAATACCTAATGTTGATGATGGGCTGATGCCTGCAGAAAACCACCATGGCAGATGTATACCTACATAACAAACCTGCACGTTCTGCACATGTACCCCAGAACTTAAAGTATAATTAAAAAAAAAAAAAGGAAAAAAATCCAAATTATTTTGCCCCCATCTTACAAAGCACCTCTTTCTCCAGGGCCTGTAATATCCTTCACACACGCATGAAGTGTCACTCTTACCATGGTTATATAACAGTTTACACCCAAGACACAGATATGTATGCCTTTTTTAAAAAGCAAGTCATGTTTGTTTATGCTCCCTGGATAGTAGTCCATATAAAATTAAATGTATCAAATAAATATTCCATCTAGTCATATAAAATACAAAGAGAGACCTTAGACTGAACACTACAATGCTAAATGAAATGTACTTTCAGAAACTACAGATGAAATTAGCTTAAAAAAGTCAATCTTACATCTCACATAAGGAATTTAATGAAGGCATTTCAAAAAGGATCTCAAGTTGATAAGAATGCAAAGTTTAACTCATTTACCTTTATTTTCTAAATACACTGTACAAACACTGCAGTATCTTATGCTACTCATTTAAAGGTTTAAAAAAAGGGTATCAAAACAAAACCAAGCACAAACAAAAAAGTCAGATCTCAAAGGTATCTACAGTATTAAAACTCTTATGATTTTTTGGGTTACCTGATAGCAATTACCAATCAAGTGAGACATAGCAGGCACTGAAACAATGGAAATGCCCACATAGCAGAAGGGAGTGAGGGGATCCAAACTACAAGAGCAACAAAATCAACTGTGGATCCAGAGACGAAAAAATGTTCTGTGGTGTAAAGGTAATCTGGTGAGAACGATGGAAAAAAATAACCATTTTTAGAAAAAAGGAATATTAGAAATATTGAAGTAAATATCACAAAAGTCATTCTATTACAAAGGCATTAACTCCCTCCTATCAATAGAATGTACCAATTTAAAAACTTTTAGTAGGAATATATCTTCTATTTTGTAACAGAAATCAAGGGACAAAGAGAATTAGCTTATCCATACTTCCTACTCTTACTGGTTATCAAAACGTAGCCACAAAAAAACTGTTCATTCATTTTCATCTTAACAAAATAACATTTTTGGCTGGGTGCAGTGGCTCACGCCTATAATTCCAGCACTTAGAGACGCCAAGGAGGGCAGACTGCTCGAGCCCAGAAGTTCGAGACCAGCCTGGGCAACATAGTGAAACCCTGTCTCTATTTTTTTTAAATATATGTTTTTTAAAAAATAAAAAAATATCATTTTTATACATATAAATACCATTTTTAAAAAATTTAACAAAAATATAATGCATTCAATCTGTAATAATTTGTCATATCTCTACCAACATCTTAAAATTATATTTGTTTGTTTTTTGAGACAGAGTTTCACTATTGTTGCCCAGGCTGGAGTGCAACGGCACAACCTCAGCTCACTGCAACCTCTGCCTCCCACGTTCAAGCGATTCTCCTGCCTCAGTCTCCTGACTAACTGGGATTACAGGCACCTGCCACCACACCTAATTTTTTGTATTTTTAGTAGAGACAGGGTTTTATCATGTTGGCCAGACTGGCCTTGAACTTCTGACCTCAAGCGATCCTCCTGCCTTGGCCTCTCAAAGTGTTGAAATTGCAGGCATAAGCCACTGTGCCTGGCCAGAATTTTTTATTATAAGTAGTCAAAATAATGAGTCTTTAAAATTATTTTTTTTTACTACAGAATCACTTTGTGCTCACTACAGAAAACTTGTAAAATATAAAAAGAAGAAAACAATGTCCCATAATCTTACCAACTAGAAACAACCATCATAACCATTTTATTTCTTGTATGGGTACTATCTTACTATTAGTAAGAATACTATTAATTAATACTTATTAACCACTTCCTTTGAGCTATTCAGCTAAGAGCTTTCCAAACATTTCCATTATACCTTTACAATAATCCTATTCAAGTAGTAGATGAACATGTGAATATTTTACAGTTTTGTCAAGTAGGGTTGAAAGAGGTTAGGAAATACGCCTAAGGTCATAGAGATAAAAGGTAGAGCTGAAGCCAGCATCCTTGATCACTATACCACACCACCATCAATGTACAGATAGAGACAATGCTATATACTACTCTTTGCTCCTAAAATTACAAATATAATTTTTAGATGGCTATTTAATAACAGCACTTGGATATATAGTAACTTTACTGACTCACTCCTCTCCTGGATTCATGTTATATTCAGGATAGGTGATTCATTCAATATAAAAATAAAAACTAGATAAATGCAAGACTTGCTTGTCCACTTCTAAATTTAAATTATAATATATAATTCAACTTACCCTTTTACTGAGGCAAATAACTGGCCACATACTGCAACCTAACGTGCAGCAGCAACAAAGGCAGCCACAAAGTAGCCAACGTACGTTAACGGGAAGGTTCTTCTTAAGACAACTGTTAACTCTGTTGATGCTGGCTTTAAATTCTTCAGGAGCTACCTAAAGAAAAATTTTAAGAAATAATAACAATGCAATATTAATGTCAAAAAACATGACTGATAAGCATACTTTTTTCTAATTTTCTCAGAAAACTGTCATTTTGAGGCATACAAATAGTACAAAAATGAGACACTCACTTTTCCAGTTAATGAAGAAGGGAATTCTGATTCAAATTTGTTGCTCAGTCCAAATCTATTTTTAAAAAATAAGAAGAATATGTTATTACATGTCATTGCTGCCAAAAATATAGACCATTTAATTTAAAGGTCAAGTCAATAGAAAGCATTTTCACATACGGAGGAAGTTTGAGACATAAAATGGAACTTTGAGATAAAATAACTGTAATAAGCAATTTATGAAATGTAACAAGCAATTATTTTAGCAGTTAAACGGAAACTTTTGCATAATGATAAGGGGCTGAATGTTAATTAACCAGCAGTATGTAAACAAAAATATAAACGGTTCATTTAATTTGAGCTACCACCTTTATATCTTAAAAAGTTAACTACAAAGCATATTATTTTAATGAGTGGGATAGCAATTTTTTCCAGCTTTTAATGTTATTGGTGGAAACAAACAATAGCTGTGAATTTTAGCAGGTGTCCTACACAAGCAATAAGATGAGAAGCAAAATGCAGGAAAAAGAGTGGGGAAGGGGAAGAATAAGGAAAAAGGGAGAGAAAAAATAAAAAAGTAGGAACGGACGAAGTGCTACCAAGAACTCTCTTAGGTTCCATTCAATACCTATTTGTCAGTGCATTAGATGGTATGAAAGAAAATGTAGACATGTACTATACCTATATCTATTCCTATTACCTAAAAGATCTTTTCTTGAATCATGGTTAAAATATTCCATGGCTTTAGAATTGATAAAAGATTTAAACTATTTTCAAAGAATGGTAAATATAACAAGAAGATAAAAGACATAACAAAAACAACCTATTTTGCTTTTATCTATCAGAAGTCTACCAGTACTTGGAGAAAAGAGAATTCATTCAAATCACAACTATTGAGCACACTCCATGCAACATTTCAATACAGGCTTTTATGGCTTTTACAGCTTCCTTTGTTTCCTTGAGAAATCACATATGAGACCAATTTTACTTTTATGTAATATGAGATAATTTTGAAAGTTCATGTAATACACACTGTAAAGTTTCGAAGGGGGAACTCCAACTTTACACCTAAATCTAAACGGAATCTTGAAACAGGCTTGTTTTACTCATATCCTACATACACCCATTTCACTATCTCTACATTCCTCCAGTCTATAGTCATAACTCAGTGCAAACCACTCCAATCTGTTATCCAGCTTTCTCATCATCATCAAATTCAGGTTTATCTTTCCTGATAGACCTTTTCCATTCCAAACTCCTTTAACACTTTCCTCTGAAACCCTCAATCTGTTGATCTGCAGCTATCAGGATACCTCCTTACATCTTATCTTAAAAAACAAAACAAACCTTAAACTTAGTCATGTGCCATATAACAATGTTTCAGTCAGGACATACTTGAAGGTGGTCCCACAAGATTTTAATACTGTGTTTTTACTGTATCTTCTCTATGTTTAGATACACAAAACTTACCACTGTGTTATAACTGCCTACAATACACAGTACAGTAACACACTGTACAGGTTTGTAGCATAAGGGCTATGGGCTATATATCATATAGCCTAGATGTGTAGTAGGCTACAACATTTAAGTTTGTATACACACCCTCTGTGATGTCTGCACAATGATGAAATTGCCTACCGACCCATTTATCAGAATAGTCCCCATAGTTAAGCACCACATACCTGTACGTATCTTCACTTTAACCACAAACCCTGTTGAAATGCCACGCTTTCCTTAGAAATCCTCAACTACAGTTCACTCCTGATCTTATCTATTCTAAATAACTTTACCTCCTGCACCTCCATCTAATTCAGCAACCTACTCACTGTGATATATTCTGCATATTGTCATCACTTGGGACTGTATCACCTCTGAAATTCTGAACTGTAAAATTCTCCTCTTACCACTGCCATCAATCATTTCATTTCTCCCATCCTTACTAAATTTGTTTTTTGGCCTCTGGTTGTAATTTACTACTTCCTACCCCTCCATAGCTCCCTATGACTCCATTTCCTTCCTTATTTGCCAGAACTACAGTCAATCATTTTGAACGTACTCCAACAAACACCCTTAATCATCTCTACAGTGTCCCTTGCCAACCCAGGTTCAATTAAATTGTTTACTTTCTTCACACTGCCTGGAGCTACTGGAGAAAAATCACATTTATAAATGCATCACCATTAATAAATATATATATATAATACATATCTTATTTCTAACCTCAGTGAGTATTATTTTAACAATATTTATTCATCCCCAATAAGTTCCCTTTTCCATACTCCGTAGTTGTGGCACCTGTCTTTAGGTATTCCACTTTATCCTCACAACATTTTTTTGCAAATAACCACAGTTGTCAACTCTGAGAGAAAAAAAAGTCATTGAATATAAACTGCTTTACCTTCCCTCCCTTTTATTTTTGGACTTACTTTTATATCTTCAGTTAATTTTACCATCTCTCAATGGAGGAAAACTTCCAAAAACTAACCATTTACTTCTGGTTGCATCTCCTCTAGTCTTCACTGCAATCCACTGTATTTCTACCTCGCTTCAGGCTACTTAAACACAGCCTACAAACCTGAATTAGTCTATCCACCTGAGACTGTGAATCCCTATTTCTTCTTCTCTCTCAATGTCTGATGGCATCTATTTCTTTCCCTCCTCAACTAATGTTTTGAAAGACTCCTTTACATTAACCATCTTTACGTTACCTCTCATTCATTATTCAAACTACCACAATCCAGGCTTTCCTACACACTTCTTTACTAATAAGACTGTTCTCATCAGAGTAGTAGAAAATCACTCTTTTCAGCAAGTCTTCTTTCATATAGCATGCTCTCTCCAGGCAAAGAGCTTGAACGTCAGAATTTCTTATTTGGCATAGGCCACAGCAAATATCTCCTTTGCTATGTTTTTCATCCCTGCCAAAACCTTCTCTCTTTTTTTTTCCAAATCTAGACCAACCAAAACAATAGTATCAGGTAGAATTTTAGCAAGACCATCCTATTTTATTAAATGGATAAGAAAAGTCACACTTCTTGTTTGATAATATAACTGTAAAATATCACCTCTAATGATTTATTTTTGACACAAACCACTTAATTTTGACAATACCTTAGTTCTGGTTTCTTAAGTCCAGCAGAAGGCAGAGACTGTTAGAATGAAAATGGCATATATGTTTTGCTTTCAATTGACAGCATTATAAATGTACCCACAAGTTTACATAAAAGTTTTTAAATATGGTAAAAATAATTTCCTTTATTCTAAGACAAAGTACAATTGGCTCAGCACAGTATTAGAAAGGCCAAGTTTCATCCAATAAAATAATAATTTGATGTACTTGAAAGAAGAGCAATGATTCCTGCACTGAGTAGGAAGCCGAACTCCCTTCAGACTCTAATAACCAAACACTCTACTAATCCAAAAAGCTAGAAGTAGCACTTGGATAATTTTTTAAAATATGATTTAAAGTAGGTGGCATCTTAATCCAGTTATCTACAAGACTAATAAAATTACATTTAAAAAATATTTTATGTTGGCAAGAAGGTCAAGATGGAAAAATATCACACACTATCAATGGAACTATAAATTGTTACAACCATTTCAAATTAATTTAGCGCTGAAAATATTCATATCTTTGTCTCTTTAGAAATGTAATATTACCTAAAAATAACTTGAAATGTGGATTAAATTTATGCATAAACAAGTTCATTGAATCTTTATTCACAAATATAAAAATGTATCTATAACATTTTAGGAATGGTTAATTATCTCAATATAACAGAATATTAAACAACCATTAAATATGAAATTTGTAAACCAAAAACATGGAAATATCATTGAACATAAACTTCTTCACCTTCCCTCCCTTTCATTTTTAGGTTTATTTATATATCTTCAGTATTTTTACCATCTTTCTCAATGGAGGAAAATGTTGAAGAAGAAAATTCAGTATATCATGATCTTAACAAAAAGAACAAAAATCTCACAAGTTGATAGAATTTTCAGGAGTGCAATCTGGTAGTACGTAAAAGGGGTCTTAAAAAATATTCCTACCCTGGCTGGGTGTGGTGGCTCATGCCTGTAATCCCAGCACTCTGGGAGGCCAAAGCAGGTGGATCACCTGAGGTCAGGAATTCGAGACCAGCCTGGCCAACATGGTGAAACCCCGTCACTCTAAAAATGCAAAAATTAGCCGGATGTAGTAGTAGGCACCTGTAATCTCCGCTATTCGGGAGGCTGAGGTAGGAGAATTGCTGGAACCCAGAGGCGGAGGTTGCAGTGAGCCGAGATTGCATCATTGCACTCCAGCCCGGGCCAACAACAGTGAGACTGAGTCTCAAAAAAAAAAAAAAAAAAAATTCCTACCCTTTGATCCAGTAATTCTACTTCCAGAAATGTATCAAGAGAAAATAGCTGCAGTGGCACAGATATGTTAATGAATAATCAAGTATTCTGTAGTGTTATTTTACGGAGGGGGTATTAAAGACATTTTGTGTCATTTGTTGTTTTTTTAAATAACAGCTATTTTTCAGCAATGCATAGTTGCTGTTAACTAAATAATTCACGAGTATTTTATTTTATTTTATTTTTTTGAGACAGGCTCGTTTTGTTGCTCAGGCTGGAGTGCAGTGGCATGATCTCATCTCGCTATAACCTCTGCCTCCCAGGTTCAAGCGATTCTCATGGCTCAGCTTCCCAAGTACCTAGGATTACAGGTGCTTGCCACCATGCCAGGCTAATTTTTGTATTTTTAGTAGAGACAGTGTTTCACCATGTTGGCCAGGCTGGTCGCGAACACCTGACCTCAAGTAATCCGCCCACCTTGGCCTCCCAAAGTATTGGGATTACAGGCATAAGCCACCACACCCAGCAGACAAATATTTTATAACGTACAATACCATCCTAATTTTGTTTTCTTATTTGAATATTTTATTTGGCATTAACTAGGTATTTTAAGATAAGTAAACAGGGAAATTTGGGTTCACTAATCAACAGTTTTCTTGAATGCATTTCAATTTTTTCCATAGTTCAAGTCCATATAATCCTCTGTCCCTCTTACTTCAGTTTTTACGTCTT